TCAGTCAGTTAAAGAAAAGTGTCATTTATAGATATATTATCTCCATCAAGCAGCACTTGTACATTTTTAAAGCAATCAAAAGAAACTAACACAGAAATAAACTAAAAGGGAACTCAGGAAGTGCATTCCATGAAGGACAACGCAAGCAAAATGTAAGGATCCGCACTCGTAGAATGTAGTGTTATGTAGTCTTGCTGACAAACACAGAGACAAACAAATGACACTTTATCTCTATGGGGCAAGGGGAACAAAACAAATACATGTCAAGTCCTTCTACTTCATGGCAAAATGAGCTTTTGTGTAGAGGTAGAAAAGTCATTTTCTTAACTTCACTTTCTGATTTGCCATTGAATAATGTTGGCTAAGTTTGATACAAGTAAAACTTAATGGTTAAGATTGAGAATTAGTTGTTTCTATGGTTAAGACACCTGTATTGGCTGTTGAGACAAGACAAGATGCAAAGCCAAAAGAAACATCCACTCACAGTTGTATGACAGTACCACCTGACGTTTCCATTGGGGTCTGAAAAAGAAAAGCCGTTACTCACAAAACCACAAGAATTGGATTGAAATTTTAGATTTTTTTTTTACTGGCTACAGTCTCAAAAATCGCAAGCAGGAATGCAAAGTAAGTCAATAGAACACGTACTATAACACGTACAATTCAATTTGATTTTATTTGTATAGCAGAGTTTACAACACAGCGCTTAACATAGTAAGGTATAGACCTAACAAATTTAAACAGAGAACGCAATTCTCCCATTCTACTTCTCAAAACTCTGGGAACCACAAGTAGACCTGCAGTCTGAGAGTGAAGGGCTCTGTTAGGATGGTATGGTACAATAAGGTTTTTAAGGTAAGATGGAGCTGGTCATTGAGCGTTTCATATATTAAAAGCAGGATTTTAAATTCTATCCTGGATTTTACAGGGAGCCAATGAAGAGAAGCTAATACAGGAGAAATATGATCTCTGTTACTGGTTCCTGTCAGAACCCTGGCTGCAGCATTTTGGATCAGCTGAAGGTTTTTGAGAGAGTTATTGGGACATCCTGATAAGCATTTACAATAGTCCAGTCTAGAAGTTATAAATGCATGGACTAGTTTCTCAGCATCACTCTGAGACAGGATGCTCCTGATTTTTGCAATATTACGTAGATGAAAGAAGGCTGTCCTACAAACTTGATTTATATGTCTATTGAACGACATGTCCTGGTCAAAAATAACTCCAAGGTTCTTCACAGTAGAACTGGAGGTCAAGGCAATGCCATTTAGAGTAGCTATCTGTTTCAAGGTGTTTATGGCCAAATACAATAACTTCAGTTTTGTCTGAATTTAACTGGAAATTCCAGGTCATCCAGGCCTTTATGTCCATCAGACATGCCTGGAGTCTGACCAATTGATTGGTTTCATTTGGCTACATAGATAAATATACCTGGGTGTCGTCTGCAACAGTGGAAATGTATGCAGTGCTTCCTTAGGGGAGCATGTACAAGGTAAATAATATAGGTCCTAACACAGAGCGTGCTGGAACTCCATAAGTAACTCTACGGCGGGTGGAAGAAAGATCATTAACATGAACAAACTGAGTCAGTACAGAGTACAGAGTCAACTATAATCAATTCAACACACACTGTGCAGCTAGTGCTGAGATCAAAGTCCATTTGGATTAAAATAAGAATAAGTATCACTTTTCTTTCACTTGACTTGAATTTCAAAAAAGAGCCCTGCCTCTGAAGTGCTGCTGTTGGCTGAAAAGTAATTTTTAGTTTTTTATGCAGGGGCTGGCTCTTTTTTTTTTTTTTTTGTTAATTTTGGGAGGGCAATTCATTACAACCCACAATGTTAACTAGATTGAACAAACAATTTACTGACAGTTTCGCTCTTGTTAAAGCCTTACTAGTGGTCAGCAAAGTTCACATGTGACTATGGTGTCATAGAAGATGAACACTTACAATCCTATTGGAAAGCTTTTTTTCCTCTGCAAAGTGCAAATATTCACTGCAAATAGTGCTACAGGTGAGCTAACACATTCACCAAAGTCATTCAAGGGAAATCCTCTGACAAGCATGGATGTTCATAGCAAATTTAATGCAATATTGCCATAAGTTTTGCTGGAGCAAAGTGAAAAGGAGGTTGATAAAATGATGCCAGCATTTTAAATATACAAATAATAAATCCACCGTTTTATGAATTTAACAGTTTTTATGTACTTATTTTTAATTTTTCCAAAGGTTTTTCCATCAGGATTTCCTTGTCTTCTGTCAGCGTTGTTAGCTTTCACATATTTGCTCCAAATAACTTCATGAAAATGTAATTATTGTTTGAATTATGTTCCCTATAATTCTAGATAATGTCACATCGTGAAACTGTGTGGTGGATAGTTTTGTAAATTACACACATGACTTTCTGAACCAAGGTCCTTCATGTGTCCTGTGTGTTGGTAGTCTAGACTACCAAAACACTTGCTTCAGGTTAGGAATAATAATTAATTTTTATTGGAAGCTGAAAGTTAGTATTAACATTTTAGTAGCTTTGCAGGCAGCGTGGCTCAGGGGATGGCCCTCCACACTTGTACATCTTTAGTATTTTTAATATTAAATGGATTCAAATTTGTACAAACATTCATAGTTCAGAGTGAATGAATTCTTTGCTTCATGTGCTCCTGATGTTCACGTTTTTGGGTTCACATAAAATATGAGGGAGTAGCCAAGATGTGGCCGTTATCCATGAAGTCCAGAGGACTGTTAATCCTCTGGACTTTTCATCTAAGATCACCAGCAGATCAAAGTCAGCACTTCTACAAAATTTGGTAGACATTTATGATTTACTGACAATAATTCCTAACAACTTTGCCAAATCTCTCACTCCTCTTGTAAGACATTCATGTAATATCAGTAATACTTTTTTTCCCCCATCCATCCCAATTATCAGTTATGGGCATTTTTTTGTGTCTGTCTGCATGTTGTCTCCTGCCAGTCTTCCTGGTCTCCCAAGACCATCATTTAACCAAATAGTTGCTAAACTTACTCACTGCTTTCTAAAGGTTTTAACAATGAACATTTTATGGCAGTAAAAATATAGAAAATGTAATGCAACTAGTTCCATCCATCCATCCATCCATCCATCATCTATACGCCGCTTAATCCTGACTAGAGTCATGGGGGCTGGAGTCTATCCCAGCTGACTCCAGGGAGAAGGCAGGTGACACCCTGGACAGGTCACCAGTCTATCACAGGGCTAACCAGTTATAACTGAAGATGAATTTTACAAGACTTGCGGTGGTATTTATTTATTTACCATGATAATGATAAACATATCAATCATGACAATGTTTTAGTCATGATTGATATGAGATTGTACCAGTTCATGCATATTGTAAAGATTTACCCATGCAGTAAAAGAGACCATTACTCTCTTATCATGTTGCTCTAACTCAAGCTGATGGTGGTTTTTGGCTGGCTTCTTCCTTGTCCTCACCACACCACACCACTCACTCACACCTCACCATTTTTACGGTCTATAACTTACTTTGTAAAGCGCTGTGTGATAATGTGTTATAAACTGTGCTATACAAATAAAATTGAATTGAATTGAATTGAATTGCTGCTTGTTACAGCCTACCCAGAGGCCTTTCAACTTTTGTAGTGTCATCTGTAGATGAACATACATTCTGATTGTATTTTAAGGACATACAAAACAAAATGCTAAAATCACACTAACATTGACAGCACAGATCTAAATACAAAAGGGGATTCTAAAGTATTTACTAATCTACGTCCACTTCAGTTTCATGAGAGGATTTATCAGATTTTTGCAGATACAGCAAAGGAACTGCATTTTTCAACCAAGGCAGGCGGATGAAAACTTTATGAAGCAGGTGATGACTTGATAGGATCTGACAGCAGAGAACATTTGCACCTCATACTTTAAATTATTGAATATGCTAGGATATTCTGTTTCAGTTTTCCTAAACTAAACGGATGTGACATATTCTGCAAAGCTATGGATGGATTATTTTGGACTTGTTTTCTATTTTGGTTTGGCATTCATTGTGTATACCAGTTGTGTTTTTCAAGATTTCTTGTATGGTTTCAGTGTAATCAGCTTTCAGTCCCTGTGTGGAGGCTATGGGAATCCCATCTCGGCTCTCTGCCTGACTTAGAGTGTAGGTGGTTATCTGACTCTCCATGTATTCACAGCCACTGCTCTCGCCTTATCAGCAGTCAGAGGCTTGCATGCTCAATCGCCTGATTTGTCAAGGATGACTCCAAAAGATTCTGATAGGCACTCCGCAAATCACCCAGTTGATCTAAAATATCGACCAGCCACAAAAAGTCATTACACACAATAATGGCGGGCAGGACCTTGAAGATGTGACTTAATTAGGTTTCAAATGGCTTCAAAAATGCCCTCAAATGTTCTCCCCCAGAGAGTAATAAGGTCTTGGATTTTTCTCAGTGATTACAGGTGTAGAAAGCGAAGCACACAACGACTGACAATGCTACCACTGCTTCTACCTATGGGTAATAACAGGAGCATAGACATCAGAGATGTACATTATGGTCATACTCCTGCTGCTATTTAACATGCTTTTCTGCTTCAGTAGTTGTTTTCTGGTAAGTGATGATGATTGAGGCAGACAGGAAACATATAGTAATCCTGAAGCTGCAAAAAAGTTCTGCTGAAGCAAATGACATGTTTTGCTAATGAAATGAACTGGACAGTTGAATTTTTTTTTTTTTTTGATGGTTTGTGGGCATTAATGGAGCTGCATACACTGACAATAATACATGAGTGCTGTGAGTTCTCTGCCAGTCATTGTTTTTTTAGTTACTCAGAACAGTATTATTCTAAATTGATGTCCAACCATGAACTTCTCAATCATCGATACATAGCTTCTACAGTGAATAAATCCAGATGGTATCATTTTACTTTAGATTGTTCAATGTCTAAGTAAACATTTGTTTTTTGCTTACAATGAAATTCTATGTTTCCACACAGAAAACCAAGATCTCTACATATGATAAGATGTGGGAGTTCATGAGCAGTCGGAGGCACTCAGTGATGGTAAAGAATGTTGAGGAAGGCATTCACCGTGTGCTCACCTCAGACTACGCATTCCTCATGGAGTCCACCACAATCGAGTTTGTCACACAGCGCAACTGCAACCTTACACAAATTGGAGGCCTCATTGATTCCAAAGCCTACGGGGTTGGCACCCCAATGGGTAAGTATGGTACAATGATATGCAATGTTTTGCTGAAGCAAAAAACTAACTATTTCACTTGTGGCGTACGCTACATATAGTATGCATTCAAAAGCCACAGGCTACTCAACAGCAGTGCATAGTGAAATTCAAAATTCAAGTGGTAGCAAGTGTTGCCGTGACTGGCACAGTATCAGACACAAGCAAGAAAACAGGAGTTATCTACTTCTCTCTTTCGTTTTGACTTGTGCTTCCATTTGGTCCTTTGCTGTCTAAGTTTTGTGCCATGTGTTTATAGTGCATATGCCATGCATTGCTTAATATACCTGTATAGATGTAAGTACTTAAAAGCATCATGGCACTGAATGCAGCATAAGCTAAATATGTAACACCTCAATTTCTAGATCTATTTCTGAGTACTTCACTTTTATTTAATTAAGGGCAGAATATTAGTTTTCATGACATAAAAGAACCATTGAATTATCAATTTTTAAAATTGGTGTTATGTTTTCCATATGTTTTTATGTCGCGCTGACCTGCTGAGCGCTACAACTGTATGGCAATGCCAGCAATACCACAGAAGTTTGCTACTGTTACTACTAAAACATACTGTTTCTATTTTGCCTACAGTCGCTACCAAATGACATAACAGTTGGGAAATTGTTAAAACAAAATATCAGGTTGTGTTGTTGGCGATCCAGAATCCTGAGAATTATTCCTATTTCATTTCACAATCACATGCATTTTAAACTTTTTTTCGTGTGTGCTTTACCAGATACAATTGTAATGACTTTGTCTTGCAGTTTCCAAATATAACCACAAATTTAATGAGTAGGACAAAGCTAAAATATGATCCCGCCTTGATGTAAATGATGTATGGAAGTCATGAATATATCTATAAAATGTAAATTACTGTATTTTAATACTGCAATTCAAAAGTGGTGCAAACTTTGTGAATTTATGCAAGAATCCATCCTTGAGGGTAAACCATGTGGAGGACTGCTTAGCAGGGAAAATCCTGGGGCTATCTGTAGCAGGGTGAACAACAATGTAACAACAACAGAGAGTGTGGCACATTACACATTGTGAGCCTGGAGGTGCAACCAGGGCCGGAGTGGGACTCATTTTCAGCCCTGGAGTTTCATGCCTCAGAACGGCCCACTTTATATCATGACCTATTATTATTAAAATCGTGTAATTATAACCTTACATGTTAAGGCTAAAATAGTGCACTGTTCTGTAAAGCCCTGTAATTTAGTGTATTTTTCTAAAAATATTTTCAGTTAAGTGCAAGTAAGGGCTGCTTCACAATGTAGATTTATTTCAACATGAGTACACATCTCTGACATTATTCTTCACAACACATCCTTTTCAGCAATATCAGAATCTATATTCTGTTCAAATAAGTCTTCACAGCTATCCAAACCTTAAAAATTAAACTAAAGAGTAAATAGAAATATTAAATATTACATTAAACAAATAATTAATAAAAAATGAAATAAAAAGTGTTGCACTTTCTAATAACACTATCGTCTCTTTCTCTTCTGCAAGGAAATAGTTCCATCATAACTTAGATTTCACAAATATGAAAACATGAGTTAAAAGGCAAGGCAAATGGCCAACCCTAAAACATTAATAAACACCTGAGCAGTGCACTGGTCTCTGCGACTTTGTTTATTCCAGTATGCATTGAGAATTTCTTACTCAGTGCACATGAGCATGAACGCTTCAAGTTTCTCCTGGGTCAAAGTGCTCTGGAGTCTGTTTTTTTGTTTTTTTTTAAATGAATTTCACTGTTGAGAAACTTCTCTCACAGGCTCCTTGTGTAAGGACAGTGTTAACAGCAACTTGTAGGTCAGTCCATCACATGGTAGGCATCAGTTAGCAGATGGTACTGAGAGAGGATGAGATGAACACAAATGACAGTTTTTAGAGGAGGAAAAAATGTTGCTCTCTAGTTCAACATCCTGCTGTTCCATGGAAGGATCCTCCTTGCTTCCTTGTGGCATTCCACTCGCTGTCCTGACAGTGTAAGCCTCCAGAGGGGACATCTGCTTATTTGTTCCAGAGCAGAGCTGTCTATTTTCCCTCACATGAGCAAAGTTTTGAGGGTCTAGACAGGCAAAATATGAGCAAAGTTTGCATTGGCAGAAAACCTTCCATAGATACTGTCTGTCACGGTTTTTACAATGACATTGTGAACTTTAACTTTAAAGTCAGTATCAGCTGATGCTAGCTGTCCATCTTCTGCAAGCTCTCCTGGCGTTCTTTTCTTTTTTCTGAACCTTCTCAAAGGAAGGGCAGTCTGCACTGCCAGCTCACACTCGTCCTCCTCTTGCAACTTTCCATGAGCCCACTTCACAAACTCATCAGCTGCATGTTTAACTCCTTCAAAGTCCCTAGCACATGCCCTGAGACCCTCCTCTGTCCTCTCAACCCAACTTTGAGCTGTGATGATATCCATTCCCCTTGTCTGTAAGTATTTTGAAAGGGGGGATGTCTGCTCAAAAATGCGAAGGAAAATTTGAGCAGTGAGCACTGTCTCATGCCTCAAAAGGTCGTCGATGAATCCCTTTCCCTTTGCCCTCACAGTTGGCTGTTGTGTTCTGTCGTCTACAATGGTGTGTAAAGTCATAAGCACTTCAACAAACAAGGCTCGCTGACGATTCCCAAAGCACCCAAACACTTTACTTAGTGCTTGATCCTTAGCCCACCACCTGGTTGGCCCTATTGGGCACAGTCGTCTGTGATGCTTGTCCTGACTCATCTCTTCCCACTTCTGCATGCACTTGTATGACTCTGTTAGGACAACAGCTATATCATTAAAAAGCAAAAATAGGGATACACTTTCCACAACACTGCCTGTTGTGTCTGCCAGTACAAGTTTCAAAAGCCGTGCACAACACCATATATGAATGTGATTGGAGGAGTGCTCAGAGAGGAGTGTAGAAAACCCTCGATACTGTCCCTGCATATTGACTGCACCATCTGTGGAGTTGCCCACACATTTGCCAATATCAATATTAAGCTCCAGTAGAACCTTTTTCAGGAGCTCTGCAAAATGCTGTCCTGTCGATGACTCACAGTCCACCATGGCAATCAATCTTTCATAAATGACATCGGCTACATATCTTAGGATGATGGAGCACTGGTCTTTGCTGCCGATATCTTGTGTGGTGTCAATTTGGACTGAAAACATGCCAGCTTGTCTTACTTCTTCGGCTATAATTGCCTTTATCAGTTTGCTGATTACATCCACAACTTTATTGAACATGTCTTTTGACAGCAGTGTAACTAGAGACCCTCTGCCTTTTGCACCAGTTTCATGCTGCTTCTTGCTGTTTTCTGTGCAAGTGTTTATACGCTATTGTAGGCAAATGTCATATTTACTCAAAAGTAGAATCAACTCAAAGACGTCATGATTAACAGCAGTGTTTTATAGGCTGTAGCCTGCCTCCTTTTTATCTCCCCTGCTAAGGGCACATTTTACTTTAATAACATCCACTATGAGCTCCATCACCTGGTGTTTCTGTTCCACTTGCTCACTATGCAATGACATTTGGTTACCAGTCAACAGGCTTTTTACATCTGCATTTTGTACATTCAGAAAGTAAGAATCTGCATTGTCTGTGTGTCTTACTTTTTTCGTGTTCTGCTATCCTTTGGTGAATGTGTTTCCAGCTTTTCATGCCTCCCTTTATGAAAGGGCCATCACTTACCACAGGCGCAAATGCCAGACAAACAGAACAGTACAGAGACACTTTTTTTTTCACAGTAAGTCAGCCACTTGTGGTTAGTTCCATCTTTGCTATTGAAAACTTTTCCTATAGCAATATTAGGGGTCTAATGAGGATGATAAGAAAAAAATTTATGGATATCTTGTGACTGAAGGCGAGCAAAGTAATCAAAACTATCAATGAACTCATCTTCATCTGTCTCATTCCTAACTTGTGGTTCAGGGTTCTGCTGCTGAGCTGCTGCCTCTGTAATCAGTCCCTGAGTAGACTCTGCTCTCCCTTTCACACTTCCTCCAGTTTCCCTAGACTTACCTGCACCTATATCATAATAAAAAAAATAGTAATCTTTAAAGCTTTAGCCCATTTGATATGGAAAACACATTTTGACTTAACCAATTAAGATATTCTCAATGGCAAAATATGCAGGCTTATTTCATATTACTTTCATCCTATTCCCTTTCAGTTTGTGTATTTGCTATCTTACTTGTAATGATAAAAAATAGAAAAGGCCACTACTATAGTCTGGCCATAAAAAGTGATTATATTAGAACTAATGCTTGCCTGTTCACACACTCTGCTTCTGACTCTAAATCACATTTTAAAAATAGTCATAATTCACAAATCTCCCCTTTTTACAAAGTCTTCTGATCAATTCAGGTCAGCTCCATTAATGTAGTGCTGAATCATCTTGCACCTCAGGGCACTTTTCATATAGAACAAGTCCACACCATACTCTTAAAAATATATGCCCTCACGGCCCAAACATCAGACCAGCCCACCGGGAATTGTCCCAATTAGCCATTCCGGGCCTGGGTGCAACATTTGATTACAAGGCTCAGCAGCTGATTGTCATAATCCTGTTAAAAGATGGGTGAGGAAAAAAAAAAAAAAAAAAGCCTGGTTAAGTACCTGCAGAACCACAACAGGTTGTCATAATGACGACATACAACACTGCTCTTAATCTGTATAATACTCATTAACAGAGAGGTGTAACCAGAATATACAGTAAAGTCTACGTGTCTTGATCAGTCAAACCAAGCGTCATTAGACTGTTTAAGAGAGATTTTTTTAAATAAAAAAAACAGCTCCCAAGGTGATCTGGTTTTTGAATCAGGTCTTTTTAGGAGTGGTTTTCAAATTTGCAGTCAAATGCAATATACAATTTCAAATTAAGAAAAATACTTTTGTTGTATAATTGTGTGATTTGGCACAGGTATGCATTCAGTTTAGTTGCACGATGTACTGTATGTCATATTTTGGATCCACACACAACATGTAGTGTGG